ATCCCATTTAAGATCTATTATCACCAGAAATGCTTTATAAGAAAAGGAAGGTTATAGAGTTTATGCTTTATAAAAAGGACGAGATAGTTCTTGTGCCATAAAGGCCTTAAAAAGAAATAAAATAGTTTTTGTAAAACAAATCTCAAAAAAACTTTTAAAAAAGTTTTTACAAAATCTTATCTCTCGTGAAAGACCAGTCTTGTACGTTATGTACCGCAATAGTATTCTTATTAGAATTCATTGCGGACAAACCTGCGCATGTGCGAGCATTAATATATCTTTTTTTTCTTTTGGAAATCTCAGTTCTCGTCCTGCTAATCGCGCAGTTTCCAATTCACGCTCGGCCAAAGCCAATTCCATTGCCACGATCCCGCCACCACTCTCATGTTCTCTAGCGACCCAATCTAATGCCATTTGACTACGCATATCGTCGTCCAATGCCCGATGACTATAATGCGCGACTACTTCCTGCCTACTACACTGTCTTTCTCTCATGGCTTTTAAAGAACCGTTCCAATGAAGCAATTGAAAGACTGTCATTAATTCTTGGAATTCCAACATTGTTCTTCCACGATTACATTCCAACATAAAACGAAACGCACCTATACCTGTATTTGGATCTTCCTTCTCATCGCTGCTTCCCTGAAAGAATACATGTATAAGCATTTTTACTATAATTTAACAGGATAAACAATTTCTCATATTTTATTTACTTGTGCTTGGCTACTGACTCCATTTGATGTTGCCGAAGGTTTGGAAAAACTAGCTCTCGCCTCTGCGACAGCTTTCTCGATAAAATCATCAGTAATTTTTCGCGATGGATGTTCATTGAATACAGAATTCATTAACGCGATTTTTGCAGCCGACCTGCGTGCTTCCGCCTTTGTGGGACAGTTTTGAAAGCTTCCAAAACAAGATCCTCCAGGAAGAGTTACGTAGCAAACGTAAGGTGGATTGGCACCAGGAACAGATTCATAAATAACTAATGCGCCATTTCTCAATTCTGTTCCTCTGGCCTGTTTCATCTGCCAAAATTCTTGCAATGCTTCCACAACATTTACTATATATGTAAAAAAAAAAAATATATATATATACATATACATGATAATAAAACGATATGATTAGGCTACATTTAAAAACCCTCATGGATCTTCCAAGATCTACCTCTATGTATTATTATATTCTTGTTTAACATTCTGTGAACAAAAAGGATAAAGTGATATATAGTTACTTGAATGATATTTCCAAATGTAGCCTAAGAGTGGTCCAATAATTAATAAAATTAGATTAAAGAAGATTCTGTTTATATATACCTCTGCCATAACCTTGACTATGCTTTGCAAAGCTATTAACAACAGCATCTACAGCCTCTCTTAAGACTTGCTTAGCACGGGCATCTACCAGTCCACCTGTGACCCCCATATTTTCGGGAACACGTGATTTTGTCTTAACTGGCATTATGCCCTGCATTACTCAGAAACTTGCATTTATTTATCCTGTAACATGTAGTGTCATTTAGAGAGTGTAATTTCTAATCTTTCAGCTAATAGTATATGGTTTTCATGTTTTTTTGTCAAAATCTTTATGTTCTAGAAAATGTTAAATGTATTCACGAGAATATGAATGATTTCAAGCATTTTGTAATGAATGGCAAGATTTGTAAGCACATGCTGATGAAAACGCATTTAAATTCGTGCGATTAAGAAAAATGACAAGATTTTCCTTTTTTTTTATAAAGATAAAATTTTCATGACATGGGAAACATGGGAGGAGTAAATCGCTGTCATTGTTCGTCGTTAACACTCACAGTCGTGCGATCACGGGATTAGGTCGGCATTCGCGTCAAATGCAGCAGCACATGAAGTGGATATGTCTCACACTACTCACCGAAAAATCGGCGAGACAATGCTGGATGCACACACACACACTGTCTTTCTGATGACCGTCGACGACGTTCGGCGCGACGAGTATCGGATACTGCGCGACAACGGGAATGACGAGACGATGGTGGCATGAGGGGCGTGAAAAGGAACCCAGGAGGTCTGCTGGTCGCACAGAGACCCAGGATGCCCAGGAATTCGCGTAAATTATTCTCCGATCAGGGCACCGCACCGAGCGCCGCGGGATCAAATTGCAAGACACATATAACGCGTTTAATGGCCCCGACCGCTGACGATTTCCAGAAAACCAGGAGCGTGCAACTTGAATGAGCGCCCCGTGCCTCGTATCACCGTTCGTATCTTAGTAGTACCGCTCTGTAGTACTGCTTGTTCTGTCCATCCACGGATTTCGCGCTTTGTCCAACTTTGTCGCCGAGACTTGCCAACCGAGCATTAAGTACCTGCGTCGTCTTGTTTTCTTTCTCTCTCTTTCTTTTTTTTTTGCTAACGGACCCAATGCCGCACCGCCTGGCATGACGCCCGTGACTCGCACATCTAATAATTCATATTCGCCCTCCCAGAAATGTATATAATATATATATATAAAATATTGTCAGTTAAAACAATAAAAGTCGATTAGTCACGTCCCAATTTGTAGAAAAATATTAACGCTATTTCACGAAAAAGATCTTTTAATCATCTGTTTTCAATATTTCACAAGTGATCGTCATCAATTGAATATCGCAACATGCAATTCAATTATATCGCACAGTCTTTGTTGCTAAATAGCAAGTCTTTTCACGTACAGTTGTAAACGCAAAATGGAAATTTTATGGAAAAGGAAATGACAGTTTATGATGAAAATGACAGTTTAGGCGAATAGGTATATATCCTTTTCATTTATAATATATATTTATATCAAATGCCAAATGCAAAATGTCTTGATCGCATCCTAGCACTAGTTATGTTAGATATTACCGCTTGCTTGATATAAGAGAGATAAGAGACTCTCTTGGAACAGGTAAGCAAAATTGCGAAAAGTCATGTTAATTCTATCCTCCCTCATTTCTCGTTGTTCCTCACCAACTCACACATCGATTATTCGTGCGTAGATTATACGCACACTAATTTGGCTTGCACGTCATACGCGCCTAAGACTGCATGTACACATACAGCGTACATACATTTATGCGCGACGAACGACATTATCGGAGCACTTGAATAACTTGCGATTTAGTTGACGAGATTTCTCGCGAGAAGACTCCGACGACGAGGATGCCGTGTTGTGGTCACTTTCTCAAACTCCAATGCACATGTAGATAAAACAGTGATTATCAAACGCGGCACGTTCGAAAATGTCGTAATCTTTCAAGAATATCGTTTGCATCGATTCATCTTGTCCGATTATAATAAAGAAGAAGCAAGAAGCTTTATTTTTTTGAATAAATTTTACAGTACATTCATATTTTTGCTTACACAAATTGCTCCTTCCGTTTCATACATGTATATATACTACAAAATAACATATGAATATATGTGCATGTTTCTTTCATTCATAAAGTGTAAGAACATCGAGAAACTTGAAGTTTTGAATCTTAAAAAGATACGCCCAAAAGCATCGTGAAACAAAAGTTTTACAATTGATTCATTATGTATCTTTGACGTTACCGTTTTTAGAATTTGGAATATTTCATTGTTTTAACGTTCAATTGTTGTCGCAAACGTATCTAGTTGAAAATTTTGAATCCATTGTCGTGAATGATAAAATATTGATACATATATATATAAAATTATTGTTGCACGCGTGATGCGACAGATAATGTTGAGATTGATGATAAACCAATCGAAGCTAACACGAGTCGAGTAATAATGAGTGTAATTCGCCGTATAAATGTCGACTTGTATCGACAATCTCAGGCACAATCTCGAAGCAACATCGCGACGAAAGAACGCGTAATTTATGTGGAGGCGGTGATGATGCGAGGAAATGATGCGACGGCTTGGCGCGACTCCTCGAGAGTAGTATAGCGATAGTGAATAAGAGTGCGGATCGTAAGAGGCTATTCGCTGTGGAAGCGGGAAAAGCCCGCGCGAACGAGGTTTACGCGCGCATATTTCCCGCGTGATCGACGATGGTCGACGATGGTCGACGATGGTCGACGATGGTTGACGACGGTCGACAGCCGCGAGCGCGGTACGATATGTACAGTCTGTCAATACGTGTGGCTGGACCGCGCGTGTGTGCGTAGGACGGATCAGCTGAGCGCCAGCTGTGCCGCGCGTCTCGGCCAATCGGCAACGCGGAGAGCGGCGCGGCGTGGCGCCCATAGCTCCGGCGTTCCCGCGAAACGCCAATTCACATCGTCAGGCGCGCCAGTTTGTTTCGCGCGGCAGAAACTCGTCCGCGTACTCGCGTACTTCCGAGTTCCGCGATCGTTCCGCGAGTGTGTGGTCACCGCGTTAGCTCGCGCGTTTCCCGTCCAGCCGAGGCCCATGGTGGATACCTGCGAAGAGATTGGCAACGTGGAACGCGAGCAGGAAAGCAACGGCGCGTGAGCAACGCGTAGCTGCATGGCCTCGAGGCGGGCTTTCGCACATCTTCCGTTTACCGCGCGCGCGCGTAAACCTCTCGATTCGACGCGGTCCAATCTTCGAGGCATCCAGGACATCGCACGAGACACGCATCTACCTGTCCGGACGTTGATCGCACTGCACTTTGAAGGATAACTCGCTTCGGACGAGCCAATCGAACGCGCGCGGTTCCTCGCGGAAGGACGCTGATCTCGGAGTCGCTTTTTGGAGGAGAGAAATATATCGGAATCCACTTGCCGAAGAAAGGGTAACCAAGAGTCCGAGTCGCGTAACGGTGTCACACGTCGAATGTGCCATGAAATTTTCCCAAATTTGCCCCTTTTTTGAGGTTATATACGGCATATAGAGGGCGTTACAGGGCGTACAGGGGTTGGTCGTCGTTTCGCGCGCTAGTCTCCCGCGCTTCCACATCCACGTTCCCTATTTTTCTTGGAATATTCTTTATTCGCTACCGATTCACGGCCCGTAAATAGCTCACGAGAGAGACAGATAAATTTTCCGATCAGAAAAATTGACACCGATTGAAAATTAGGAGTCGATACGTCGAATCAACGACGGTCAGGAGTACGTGCATTATGGCGATCAACGGCGTGTAGGCTTCGCGCGCTCCTCCGCTTTTCCTTTCTTTTTCTCAGGAAAATCATTACGCTCGGATCGTGAAAATTGAGCGAACGTTCGTTCCAAAGATCTCCGCCATCTAATACATTTGGAAAAAAATTATTCCGACGGCAAATATTTTCTGTACACGTTGGCAATCCCGCAGCAAGATGCCACAGAGCAGGTGAGTGATCCGATGTTCCATTTGGCGTTAAAATTCAGATATATTTCTCTTTTACAGTCTCTGAAACGTTTAGTTTACGATGAAATTCATTCGGCACTTATCGCGTGCTCAATTAAAAATATATTTTTTCCATCCATGTTCAAACTTTACGTCTATAACCTTTTTCTCTGGATAATTTCTTTCCTGGGACTTTGGCAGTTTTTCTTCAGCGATGTAATAATCTGTTATCTCCTAGCTGTTCTAGGCATTGCTATTTGTGCATTGTGCATCTACAAAGTAGTAATACATAACTTGAAACATTTTTTCATGACTATCAAATTTTTAGCTAGAAACTATACCTTTGGAGTTTTTCAATATGTTTTGTATAAGCTTTCTCGCTTTATACAAATTGTTAGAGATAGATGATATCGGAGAATATGTTGCAGGGAAGAATAAATTTTTCTTGTATATTTAGTTTGCAGGAAAAAAAATCACAAACTTATTTGCAAGGAGGCAAGGCACAGTCTGTAAAACGTAAGAGACGTGCGACGGAACTCTCGGAAGATTCAGAAAACATATATCCACCTAGTAAAGTACCCGTACTGACTCATGTTTCCTATGTGGAATCCTGTCATACTACACATTCGGTAGACGCCACATGCACTCTCCAGCATCAAACGTCTCCATTAAAAGAACAGCAAGAGCCGGCAACATGGTCGGAATTACGAATTGCAACTTGCTTTTTAACACCTTCAACCTCCAACAGTACAGCTGTTAGACCTAGTCCATTACCGTCTCTCCCATGGGCCGATGGCTCCCAAGTATGGTCCATCATGTGTCTTGGAGATCAGAAAACACTAATTCAGAGGGATCCAGAAATGTTCCAAAGGCATCCAACATTACAGCCACGGATGAGAGCAATTTTATTGGATTGGTTGATTGAAGTCTGTGAAGTGTATAAATTACACAGAGAAACATATTATCTCGCTATGGACTATCTAGACAGATATTTGTCTATTCATCATGACGTACCTAAAAATCAATTGCAACTTATAGGAATAACTTGTCTTTTTATCGCTTCTAAGGTTTTGTAAATTTTTTATTTCTTCTTTAGATTCATACCTACATAGGAGTTAAATAATCAAAAAACTAAAATCTTTTTTTTTTCTTTTCTTTTCTTTTTAAATACATTTAAACACATCTATTTTTAGAAAAAAAATAATTTATAAGAAAAAAATATTTTTTCAGGTTGAAGAAATATATCCACCTAAAATCGCAGAGTTTGCATATGTCACTGATGGAGCTTGTACGGAAGAAGAAATTTTGGGAAAGGAGTTGATGATATTGAAAGGACTTGGATGGAATCTATCCCCGATAACTGCTCCAGGATGGCTCAATATTTACATGCAGATCGAATCAGGCGATTCATCTAGACCAAACGCTTTTATATATCCACAATACGGTGGATTACAATATTCTCAAGCAGCTCAACTATTAGATCTAGCAACTTTGGACGAAGGCTGTTTAAAGTTTCCATATAGTCACATAGCTGCAGCAGCAATTTACCATACTCAAGGAAGGGAATGCGCATTAAGAGTATCTCGACTATCATGGGACCAACTTGCTCCATGTGTCAAATGGATAACACCATTTGCTACCACTGTCGCAGAAGAGGAATCCCAGTCTCTTTTAAGATCTACGATCCCACCCGTGGAATCCAATTCTGGTTCCGGACTGAAGGCCACTGTACCTAACATTGTTGTGGACGAATCGCATCGCATACAAACTCATGTGGTTGATTTGGATATGTTGGAAAAAGCGCAGCAACGATTAGCTAGAGAAATTCCGAGCGGTTATATGAACGATTCGGACACAAATGTTGACTCTGACAGACAGAGTCCGAATGAGAGTGGCCTTTTAACGCCACCATCTAGTAATCAAAAAAATTCTCCGTTATCAACATGCCCTACACCACAGTTACATCCTTATACATAATTAAATATTTACAAACATTTCTCGTACATTACATATGGTAAATTATTATATTTACTTTCTAATCGTGTGAATTACATCACGATAGTTTTTTATAGAAGCATGAGATATACTTTATGGAAAAGGCAGATATGGAGAAATGCTGATAACATTGAATGTTATTGTACATAATCTTCTGATACTTCCTAATCGCATCCTTGGATAAGAACAATACTTTAGATATAACAATAAGATATTTAGTATGAGATATCAAACTTTTTCAAATAATAATTCATAACACATGTAGCACAATTAATTCACATCACTTATTTTATTACAGACAATTGAAAAAGTGTCTTTATAAACCCGTGTTGTTTATAAATGCTTCTCAAAACACATTTATGATTTTAAATAGCAGTCATACATGACTGCTTTCTGTGATTATGTCCAAACAGTGAAATTTCACATTGTTATAAACAAATCAGATTTAACTTGTCTTTACTTTATGAGCATTATAAATATAAGAAAAAAATATTAGTGCCTGTGCAACACAAGTGTCTTTAAATAATTATTTCTATCTGTTTTTTGAAAGAAAGAGAGCATTGTGAATAGTATTCTTTTATATAGCTTTATTGTAATACAATGTATTACGATAGTGCATTACCTAGCTGGATGAATGCATTTTTATTATGTATATGTATATTATGAAATTCTATTATAAAAACAAAGTCTTTATATTCTCTTTATATTCTAAATGGAAAATGAATGGTGAGAGAGAAATGAATGAAAGAAACGAGTATGACTGCTAAATAAAACAAATAAAAAAAAAGACTAATAATCTTTAATAAATAAGCATTAAAACTTTGTGGTGAATTTGCACTGCCTGATATGTAGTAAGGCGGCGGTTTATATATATATATATTTGTATGAGTTTGACAATAAATATTTTGCAAACTTACAGCATTATAATAAGATTATTTTTTATTTTCAAATATATTATCAATTCATTTATAATGTAATCGATTCCATTTTGTATCATAGCGATGAATGACAAAATTGTAAGATAAAGAAAATTCAAGACTTCACATTTTAATCGCGCGTTTCAAGTGTGTTTAAACAACTTTTTGTACAAATGTAGCAATTATCTAATTGAACTAGTCAGTTTTTATATCATTGTATATTTTATTGTTTTATAGTCTTGTTTATTTTAAATAAGACTATATACTCCAAGAATAAGAAAGGAGAAAGAATTACGTGTGTAGCACACACAAACTGGCTACCGATCGATGTCAGTGCGACGCAGATGCGCAATTGGCGGGAATGATCCGCTGACTTGATTTCAAATTAAATCATGATCGATTAGTATCGATCGATGCGATACATTCGATAATACTGCTTTACCAATCGGAACGGAAACTCTCGAGTGGCGCCGCGGTGTCGCGCGCTTAAACGCAACGGCGCATTTTGATTGGCGGTTGCATTCGCATTCAAGTTGATCAAACGGCTCGCAGCCGTTAGTCAAACGATCGTGAATCGCACAACGAATTTGCTCGCTCGCTCGTGCGGTCGGTCGAACCGTGGTGTGTCGAACGTATGTTCATTAGGAATTTGCGTCGGTCGCGAGGTGTTTATCGGATTCCAATTTTTAATATCAGTGCTGGTGACAGAACGTTCCGAGTGATAGAGCTGTGAGAGTAAACACGCCTCTGCGTGGATTCCCATTGTTCACAAAGCAGACCTATAGAGTGAGAGTGTCAAGTTTCGACGGTCTCGAGAGAGTGTGTGAGTAAGTTCTTGTCGAACTTTCTTTCTTGCATGGATTCATCGCAATATTCACAAAGAATTGATTTAAAAGAACGATGAGGAGAGAGATGAGAAAGGTTTCTTAATTCTACCAACGAAATTTGTAAAACATTGTCTTAATATTCGTGAAATTATGATTTTTTTCAAGCCTTATAAAAAATTAATTTTTCCTTAAAAAAGGTAAAATAGAGGTAGATAAAATCGGTCTTCTTGATTGACCGAAAGAAATCTTAAAAATGATCCATATATTTACATATCTCATCTATATTGTATATCATTGAAAAAATATATCGAACAAAACGTTTTAAAAATATTCCGATAATTCTATATACATATCTTTTCAAATTTATGTTTGATTAAAATTATCCGCATTATCTACGATATTTTGTACCAGGAGAAAGATCAAAATATATTTGACATATATCGAAGAGAAAGAAAAACAAAGAAAAAAAGAGAAAGGAAAAGCCCGAGAATGTCAAGTCCAAGAGGATCTGTTCGCGAAGGCACAAGAATTGTACTGAAAGAAATAACCGCGACTCTTCATAATTCTTCACCAATTCATCCTTCTCGAAGAAAGGTACTGTTAACAAACTTATCAAGTATTTTATCTTTTATTTTTTTTTATTTGTAATATGCCGAGCTTAATTTCAAATAACAGAACAGAATGAAGAGAGCAATTTCGGCAAATTTGATCTTAGAAGCAATTTTTATTTTATTGAACTTATATATATAGATATATATATGCTGCATCGTGCATTAAAAATAACGGCAGACAGTCTGCGATATAAGCAATTCCGAATTTATATAAAAATTTAATAATCCTAAGATCGAGTTTGCCGAGTAATTGCTTTCTCGATGTTGCTTTCTTCTGTTTTGTTATTTAAAACTTAGCTGGGACAGATGGATTGTTTTAATATTTTTTTCCTTTTGCATGGAATTCATAATAAAATGATGGCCTTCTGAAAACAACGACGGCCAACAGCCTGCTCTTATCGTTTTCATGTTCTCTTTACATCCTCTCTTCTTCACGCTTCCTTCTCCGTTTATACGACAGACAGACCGGAGAATGTATTCCTATAAATAAACTCCGTATCTCCAGAAGTACCTTGAAACAAAATAAGTTCACTTCCCGCGACGCGGGAACATTTCTTTAACGTGCAAGAAAAACGCGGATTTGTTCGAGCATAAGTTTTGAGCTTCAGTGTTAAATCTTCCGATGCTTTCTTACAGATATGCTTTCTTACAGATATGCTTTCTTACAGATATGCTTTCTTACAGAGATACAACGCTCTCTTCAAAAATAGCTGGAATATAATAGCTCGATAGAATTGACCTTTGAATTTGTGCTCACGATTTCTGAAAAGTTGTTGAGAATTGCCAAGAGTTGTAGATTCAAACGCAATCTTACAAGAGGAATAAGTGTAAATTGTCACAAATATTTCAGCCATTTCTTTATCAGAGTTAAATTTTTCCATTTTTTTTTCTGATAAACTTTCACATATGTCTCTGTACGGTATAGATCGATATATTTACAACGCAAAGCAATATTTTGTCTCGCCATGTATCTCTCTGCATCAGGATTATACATGAATGAACGTGATGTTATAATTATTTATCTATTCGCAAAACATATTAATGCAACATATATTACAGGTATTGATATCGACGTAAAAAGAAAGTATTTTCATTATTATTCAATTGTTTCAATGTTACTTCTATCGATGATACCCTTCGATGTTTCCTCTAGAATGACTCCATACTCCAACAATGGTCTCTCTCTTTCTCTCTCTTGATGATATTCGTCTTATCTCTCGACGCTCTATTACCAAGTATATTCCCATCGCTCCAGATAGCGCCACGCCGGCTCTCGCTCGACTCTTACGCGGCTCGATGGCTTCGAGTCCTGTTCCCACCACTTCCATAGTTGGTGATCTTTGCGGCATAATGTCCGTACGGCGTGTGCGCGGTTGGACGATACGGCTCGGTGCAGTTAGTATTAGTACGCATCATCGTGGCATGGTGGAGGCGATATTACTCGCAGTGCAATTTTTGTCAAAAGTCCAATCGATGTGCGACGACGACGTCGTGTGAAGCTTTCCTTGACGCCGAGGATTCCCATTTAGTTTGTAAAAGGTGAGGCAGCTTTCCCGCATAGTCTTATCCTTTCCCCAGTTCTCTTCCTCTTCGACGATTTCTCGCGCGTGCACATGCACGTACATGCGTCGTGTGCTACCGAGTGCGTCGATTTGACGATGACGGCGGTAGTGGTGGTGACGGATGTCTGTAGTGGTGGCGATGGATGTCTGGAGTATCGACTAGGAAACGTGCCGGGCTAATATTAGAATTTCAACGAGAGATATCTGCCGTTGACCTCCAGCCACGGACCCTAATTTTGGGTCCGCTCTTTCACGAAACATCTTCCTTTCTCCTCCCTGCAACAGTCGTCAGATAACAACGTCATCGCATCGTATACTTCAGTGCGCGACCCCGGAAATATGTCAGAACGTCAAATAGGTGTCGAATTTTTCGATTGATTAGGAAAAATTTGAGTTGACATTTGTATATTGTTCCATCGATCACTCTTTTTTTATCTATCGTTTCTATCTTACATTTTATTTTGCATTGTATTATTTATACTTCTTATCGTCACATTGTTTTCCTTACCTAATTTTTTTCATTCTCGTTAATGGTTGCTCTCTTCTAACAGAAATATATATTCTAACAGAATATATATTCTTTCTTCTATTAATTCTATTAATTTTTTATGCAGATTATACAAATTTATTTTCCGCAATTTTAAATAAAATTCTATATTAAATTGTTATCATAAATATAATCATCTGATAAAGCTTGTGTATTGATTGACATGTTTTTTTTTATACCAAAGGTCAATATCCGACACAGTATAATATAAATGCGACAAGAATCGTGCGTATAAAATTCTCGTGTATATCTAAAGAAGTTATCTAAAGAGGTTTAGAAGCGTCGCTTATATCAGAGTGTAAAGTGGCGCGTTGAAATACGCGTCAAGAGCCACAGAAAGGGTTGCTTATCTTAGAGGGATGAGAGAGACACACCCCGAGACAGCGATGAAGCCACTGTCAGCGCGATCAAATGAGAATGAGTCATTCCATCGGTTGCATTGCAGCAAGCTCGATGATGTCAAGAGCGCGCCGAATAAGGATCGTAAAAGACTCATGTTTCATGTAGTAATTATACTTTGTCGTTTTATGGTGTAGAGAGAGAGAGAGAGAGAGTTGTGTGTATGCCTTAATGATGATGCCTTAATGATCTTATTTTTGAGATAAATAGATTTTGTGTCTTGCTTTTGTGTCTCGTTTAGAGATATGATCCTCTATTCTCTTCCACTTGAAAACGAACGATACACTAGTCGAAATATTTTTTTCAATTACCATATAATAATTAGTCATGTCAAACTTTATCAATGATTACAATAAAGTTTATATTATTCAAAGGAGAAAGCGAGATGCGCAAAAACATTGATTACGATTGAGAAATGAAATAGAAACGAGTCGAATACTACTATTATGTCAAAAGCACAAATAATGTTTGGCATAATGTAATTAATATTTATGTTAGTTTCAAACTTGTTCGTGCGCGATATTTCTTCGGTAGAAAATAATCATGTCAAGGATAAAAGCAAAGAAGAGGAGGTGAAACCATCTTACCGTGGGGTTCTTTAAACCCATGTGTAAATATGAGACCACGTTGTACGTTAGTGACAATCAAAAGTGGAAATTCTTTGATAAGTCATGGGAATTCTTCTTACAAAGGTAACTTTATGATGTCACGTAATAAAATAATGTAACGTTTTAATTAATATTTTTTCAAGTCTCAGTCGCGCTATGCGAGAGATATTACTGGTAGCGCAAATATCGAATTGGTTAATTATAGCATGAAATAAAATTGTTTGAAAATGTTATTTCTCCAGAGAATGTTCCTTTCTCTTTCATCGCACCATAAAACGGCATATAAAATGGCAATATCCTTCCTGCTTACCTTATAATTTACGGAGTATTTATATATATGAAAATAACTAAAGAGGTAATAATTGAATAAATATTAATTCTAGCACGTGTATTCAGCAATGAATTCACCATTACAATTTTTTCAGGGAAACATTCTTAGTCTTCCGATCTTGTTGTGAACTTCATGTTTTGTATTTAATTGTCACATTTTATTGTCGACATTATTATATACATAACAAATTAAATGTTCATGATTTGTAGCATCTCTGCTCGGTGTAGAGTAGTTGTAGGTACTTCCGTAACTGCGTCGTCTTGCAAAAGTGAGCGGAACTGGCACAACTAAAGCCTTTCTCTCTCGATGTCTTATAATTAGCCTGAGCGGGGCGCAAAGTGATTGCGCAATTTCTTTTTACGAAAATTGCCAGATCTCGGACTGTCAGCTGATTTAGTGACATAGTTGCAAAGTCGTCAGTGATCGTTGATATTTCGCAGATTATAAATCGATTGCGATTGACGTAACATGGATTATATCCATAAATTTCTACATCGTGTCACGATTCCAAAAACGTCTCCTTCGCCTACGTTGATGGTATATTGCGTCGTATATGCCTTCGAAGGCATTTCTGTCTTTCGAGTTTTCCTTAGCGATTTAAAGACAAGAAAGTTTAAAAATCAGAAAAATAAAAAAAAATTTTTTATAACGAGATGCTCGCAGATACAGGAAACATTTCTGCTGTATATTAAAGAATTGTCATAAATTGTCGACCATATATTCGATGGATGCTTCACTTCAAAGAAGGAAAAAGATATTGTGATTCTCAAGAGGAATCTTAATATGCTTTTCTATTTTCAGAACGGCACCGATAGTCCGGTGACAGTCCCGAAGACAGCAGAGCATGAAGTCAAGGTTCAATTTGCTCGCGAATTTGCCGATGTAGGATCGGTCACGGAGAATCTCTGCTTGGTCCCGGAGAGTCTTTCGTCGGCCAGTAGTTTCCACAGCCTCAGTAGCACTCTCAGCACCAAAAGCAGTAGCGGTATATGTCCCGATTCAACACCCGAAATTCCAGATGATGCGGACTCCGGAAACACATCATACGTAAACTCCAACATACCTGGTGTAGAAGATTTGATTCTCGCGTGCGCCGAAATTCATCTGGGAAGTGAACGTGATAGTCAGGATCTCAGTCAAGATCGAACCTTTGCGTCGGCCATAGATGAGCTACCACTTTCCACGAGCGATTGTTCCCTAAATGAAGATTTATCGGATAACACCGAAAATGAAACGCAATTGATAAAGACAGATTCTCAATTATATCAGACGTGCGTGCCTTTGAATCAAACACGTATTGTGGAACTGTCTAATAACGCAGCTTCCGTTCAAGATTCACAGTTCGTGATTTCATATCCTTTAGAAGAAGACATACCGCAAGTGAAAGAATCGAGCGATAAACATATTTTGTTTCAGGAAAGTGATAATATAGCGAATGAACTTGAAACGTGTAACATTGCGAATAACATTATAAAGGATTCACTGCCAACAAATAATGTGAATAATAATCAATTGAATGTAACAAGTATCATTTCGTCTGATAATTCAACTTTCAATATAATTGTGCGTAGTGAAAAACAAGCAATAAAAGACGATTGCATCACCGAAGTATTACCTCTAGAAGATCCACAATTGTGTCCTACCGAAATTTCTGTTCCGTCCATATCTTCGTTAGCGCAATATGCAGATATTTCGTTGCCCAATATATCCAGTATATCATCACCATTAGAAGATACTAATAATAAAACGAAAGAGACAAATGTACAGAATTTACAAGAACAAGAAATATCAACAGCATTGTCTTTCTCTGATGATTTCGATAAAAAATTGTGTACATTATCACAAACAATTGTAAATAATTCTGATCAAACAGATCAAACGGAGAAAAACGAAATTGTCAAGGAACAGGAATTATCACAATTAGATAATTTTATTGTATCAAATAAAGAAAATAACACAGAAATATTAAAGACCAGTATTATAGAACCAAAAACACCCGAAATTAAGGAACACTTGCAGACAAATATCGACGAAAAAAATTTAGAAATAAAAAATACCATAGTATTGAATGAAACGCAAAAATTATCTGAAGAAGAAATTATCACATGTAATAAGACCTGTATTACAGAAAAGCAATCAGAAACCGTAATTATAAAAAAAGAAGAAAATATTGTGGAAAATGCAACTGTAACGAGCGCTGTTAAAAAAGAGACGTCTTTCGAAGGAGATCTCAATCGTACACTTACTTTACAAGAAATAGATATAAATTTTGCAATAGATGAAGAGTACGAAGATTTCAAGCCCCAGCGTCAAAGTACTACGCTGTCATTAATTAACGAACAGCCGTGCTTTGAAGAAATAAAATCTACAGTAGAAAAAGTTACTAATGAGTTACTTAATCCTTCATCGGAGCTCACGGAAGAAACAGATCAGTTTGTCAGTGCAACAGTTGAAAGTAAGTAAATATTGTATTGAAAATTTTTAGTAATTATTAAAATTTATTAAACAAAAATTATTTTGTTTTCAGTTTTCCAAGATCCTTCTGTGTTTGATTTCTTGTTAGCACAAAGTAATTCAACACATACAGACCGTCTTAGAACAGAATCCTTGTATGTTAAATTTGATCCATTAGTATCAAGATCCAGCATGTTGCCTCAAGGAAATGTCCAACCAATAAATGAAGAAAAAAATGATAAAAATGAATCGTCACTTTCTGATGTTGGTACACCAAAACGTAATCCTGCCATAGCAGCTATAGACAGGCTGCTTTTTTATAGTCCGCTTCCCAATGCAACGGTGCAAAAGTTAGAGGAAGCTCAAGAAAAAAATGTAAGTAAAAATCTATGAACTATATTTCTAATTATTATTTATAATTATTATCTAATTATCATTTAATTAATATTCATCAATTTCTTACATCAATCTCGATCATATAAATATTAAGAACAAATTTTATTTAGGAGCAACCAGTAGAAGAGCCTAAATCTGATGCACCACTTATCGATCAAGTAGAGATGAGTAAAGAACTCGAACTTGTAAGAACGACGGTACTACAATTGGAGGAAGAATTAGAGAAACAGAAAAAAGAACACGACAAAAAGGAAGCAGAATTAGAAAGGCAAAAAGCAGTCTTTCAAGAAAAAATTAATAAATTACAGACACAAATATCGCAAGAAATAAAAACCAAAACCCAAATGACGTAGGTAACTTAACGAAAATAACGAGGTTTATTTAGAATGAATAAAATACAGAAATAATTGATTTATAGGGTTGTCGTGGAAGAATACGAAAAGTCGATTAGTAGATTACTCACAGAGCGAGAAAGGGATCGCACAAGCTTTGAACAAGACAAGGCAAAATTGCAAGAAGAACTGCAAACTGCGAATCGCCATCTAACTAATACGGAAGCGGCGTTTAACGATGTGCACCAGAAATATGAGAGACTTAAAGGAGTTGTGTCGGTGTATAAAAGTAACGAAGCTGTACTGAAAGAAAGTATCCAGGAGAATGTAGAAACCATAAAAACATTGGAAACGCGATATGATCAACTTAAGGAACACGCCATGGCTCAATTAGAAAAGTACGTATATTCAATGTATAGTATTACATGTTTATATGTATCGTATATTTTCCGAAGAGATAAATATTAATATAATTATATTTTAGTGCTAATCTAGAATTAGACGCAATACGAAAGCAGAACGAGGCGGAAACAGTGAAGTTGCATGCGTTGATAAGGAAAGCAGAACTTAAGAGCAATTCGCTTGCTGAACTTGTGGAGCAAAAAACTAAAGAAAATAAAGAACTTGCGAAAATTCTAGATGAAGTTATCGCTAGGGTTGGTCATGGAAACTCGGAATGAAAATGAAATATGGCGATTATGGCGTGATTAGTCTTTATTTTTTTACTTGTCCTTCGCTGTCTTAAATACAAATGTATGTTAGATACAATTGATGTATGTATATGTGCATTAACTCGTAAAGTTATTGCAGGTTGCGTTTTACTTCAGGAGAACGCCTTTTATTATTTATAAGTTGTGAAATATAACTATTTTAAAGCTAATAAACTATGCTTATCAAAAAACACACTTTTATTTATATGATAAAAAAATGTTTAAATACCCTGTGTATTGTGTATACATATGTGCGTGTATGCGCGTGCGCGCGCTCATATGGTACACATACAATCCTATTTTTTAATTTTAAACCTCATTACCGTGATATATTTTTTTTTCTTATGTTATTAAATTATATAAAAGTCAGTATGTAAATACATGTCAACTAAAAGTATAAGCACCCATATATTTGGTCATTTTAACAACGCCTTGTTCGCTAAGATGCAAATCTTTTGTGTATGCAATTCTTCTGAATTTTACTAATTGTACTAATGAGTACTGTCAATCTATTGGCCTAGTATCGATAAGAAACAGTACATGATGCTTGGCCAGTTTCAACATGCGATCGCTTGTACTTCCAGGTTTCCGCGGAATATTCCTATTTTCAAGATCAGGCATAAATTTTTTAATTGTACGTGCTAAGTTTGCAGCATATTGTTTAAATTTCGGATGATTCATGCCAATGCCTTTGCTTCGTAAAGCTTCCGCGACTGCCCAAAGTAATTTCTGAAAATAAGCATGAGAAAATTTACATTACTATTTATTAAAATGTATAGTAAAGAGCGCGCGTGAAAGAGTAAAGTGCAAATTTAACAATATAAACCTTTTTATGAGTATCGCTTAGCTCGGTTTTTCCTTGATTAAAAGATGTATCGTTCTTCGAAAGAATACTGCTCGAAGAAAATCTATCCCATGCAATCTTCGAGGTATTCTTTAATTCATGCGTACAATCAAACGATAAACTTTTTACCCATTTCAATCGTGGTCCTTGCAATTCTTCCTCGCACTTTCTTTTTCTGCTTTCTTCTTTTAAAAGTGTTTGTTTCATATTTTCAAATTCGTTCTTTTTCGGTGTTGAAAATAAAACGCGTTTGATTTTTTGAGTATCTGTACTATTTGTGCCTAATAATTTGCTAGGACCTGCATGATTTGACGGAGGACTTTGAAACAACGCACGTTTCGAAGTTTCTAATTTGGATTTACATGGACTTGATTCATCTAACATTAATCTCCGAACCACCTTCTTTTTTGCTGAACTTCTTGGGCTTTTACCTCGAGGACTCTTCCCTCTTGGACTTTTACCTCGTAAACATTTACCTCTTGGACTTTTCCCTTTTTTATATGTAAGTTTTCTATATTTTATACAAAAAAGAATTAGAAAATTATTTTATACAAAATACTATAATATTTTTTATAGGATACATACTTAATTGGTATCATTAACTGCCTTTTATTAGAGAGACCCAATCCTTGCAAATTAGCGCTACAAAAAGTTCTTCGTCTTCTGGTTAAATGCGTCAATCTTTTGTCCGGACTTTGACCATTTCCGCGTTTTGCCAATAAACTTCGTTTTCTTGCACTTCCTGGTGGCTGCTTCGAAAACCATATATTACAAGTAGATTGTGTTTCAGCTCCTATATATCTTTCACATAATTTAACTGTCAAATTCTCAAATTCCTCTACAGTTTTGCTTCTGTTATAACTGAAATTTCAAAAATAATTTTAAGTATGTAGAATCACAGGCTTTGCAATAAATGAAAAAAATATATCCTATATGAACTCACTGTATGCCATGGAACTTGTGATAATAAGCCTGAGGCCACATTAAAGTCTTAGCCTTTTTCTCATCAATTGTATGATAAAGAAGAGGAGACTGTTCGTGAGATATATTTAAATTATCTATAATTGGTGCAATCTTGACTGTTTCTTTGATTGTATTAACTGAACTTTGTATCTCCTTAGGAACAGTATGTTGTATGTTCAAGTTATCATTACTGCTGTTATTTAGGCCAAGTTTTGTGCCTTCCGTACTAGCTGGCAAATTACAGACATCAAGAATATTTGTCAAATTTCTAGAAGTACCTTTTATACATTGATAAGAAGCATTCCTATCGCTAGCTTCTATAATCATCTGCTTGACATTTTCCATAGAATCTAAACTTCCATTAGTTAATGGGTATTCAATGTAGAACAATTGACGATTTTCATAAATATGTTGTAGAAAATCCGAGCAATCGCTTTGACACATTGTATGTCTTGGCGGAGGTGGGACGCCACTTAAAAACTTATTAATTCTAGCCAACATGTAACTATCTGATTTTGCAATCAATTCAGCCTGAGTGAGTTCCCGAGGGAGAATCATTGCCAATGTACTATCATCAGCTAATGTATTAACATTTTTATTATCTATATCACTTTCAGTATCACTATCAAACATTTCTGGACTAGAGACATTTGGAAATGTCTCTGCATTTTGTGTCGAGTTATCATATTGATTGGTAAAACAGCAATCCATATATGGTTTTCTAGAAATTCAAAAAATGTTGCAATCAACTTAATAGTATGAACGTATCGGATTTTTTTGAAAAAATATTTATATATGGTTGAATGATTCTTGAATTGAATTAGTAATACATATACGTTTTCGTTAAATTTCTCAAATTTTACTAATTCCAATTAAAAATTATAATACTCTGTGAAAATGTTTAAAAATATATCGAATCGCAATATAAATCGGAACGTGTAGCTGATAAAACTATCACTTTCGATGCATCATGTGCGATATGTATATATTATATATATATATATATATATATATATATATATATATATATATATATATATATATATATATACACTACACACTATATATATATATAT